GTCAGAAAACACAACCCTCTCTCTTTTCCTCCATACCCAAATCTCTTAAAAAGGGGCTGCAACGGATCTGATACAGACTGATCCAGATTTGAACACTTCTATACGTCACAGAAGTGGCGTTACGGCTATTGGGCCAACTCCACCAATCAGGAGGAGACAGCCACGGACATTGCCGTTCGAAAGCGCTGGAGAAGCTGTAGTACATATGCCAGGCCTGTAGATGGTGCTGTTCTCACAGAATCAGCCCATGCAAAGACAGTGTTAAATTGAGTGAAATGAGGAATGGCTAAAATGCATGATCTGTTTGGTATTTTGAAAAATAAAAAGTCCAAATATGCCTTATATAGGTATGGTCCTACACTATATTATTCAAATATAGTATGATAGGTCCACTTTAAATAAATACTTGTTCCTATATATTCTTGTCCTTCCCACGCTTTGTGTTATGGCCAAGAGCCAGGCCATGACATGTCGTAAAGCCAAACATGGTGTTAGAAAACACTGATGATAAAGCAAAATTCTCATGCAGGACGGTTTTCACTAAGCGTAGCAGAAGTTATGGTTTCCCGGCCATTGAAGAGCTTACAAAGATTGTGCTTTATTGGAAGTGTTTTCAAACTTAATATTTATCTAGCTTCTTGTTACGGCAGTTTTCATAAAAATCCAAACTCTTTTTAAGTTATGTGGTCTGACAACACGTCTTACGGACCAGTTTTAATTTAATCACAGTGCTAAAACTCTGGATAATGTTTCAGATGAACATAAGAAAGACAATAAATTCAGTAATTTTGTCTATAAGTGACATGTTGAGTTGAACTCTTGCTACATTTTTAGTTGCAAAAACTTCAAATAAATAATAATCATGATAAACATGGATTAAGATTCAGAAATATGTTTGTATCTAACACATACAATCTTTTATTATTATTATATTATATTAGACTGACGCATTGCAAGAAACACGGGAATCTCTCTTTCTTTAAGCTTCTTTGTGAGAACCCTGCATTAAAAGCAGGGCCGGCCCTGATTAAAAGCATTGGTTCAGGAAGTTTTGTTTCTACATTTGCATGACTCTGGGATATCTAAAAGAGTAATCTACTGTACCATCTGAGCAGCGTAGGTCAGCAGGTAGGGGAGGCTCCCAGATGAGGCTGTCGCTGCATTTGTAAAAGCCCGATGGCATCGGTCTCAGGCTCGACTCGTCACAGTTCAGTCCCACTGATTCCCCCACTCTGTACTGCTCTTTGGTGGGGAACAGCGTCATGCCTTCAGGGGTCTCAGGAGGAAGGCACAGTTTCCCTGAGAATCACGGTTTTTAAATCAATGTGACAAACTGGAGCAGAAATATTACAGTCCTCGCGTGTATCGAGAATGACCTGTCAGGAATGTGTGGATGTATGATTACCAATTTACAACGTTTCATGTGAGAAGGCAAACTTACTGATGCATCTTCCTTTTGGTTGTTGCCACGTGCCATCAGGAAGACAGTTGATGAACTGAAAGCCCTCCAGTTCAAAGCCAGTGAAGCACTGGAACTCCTCATCCTCACCAAAGTCATAATACTGTTTCGCTTTCTGTCAGAGGAGGCAGTTATTTGTATTAAGTTACATGGTTAGCCACCAATATAGGAGCTTTGATCTGAGCAGCTGCTGCAATGTGCGTTAGATGTCACAATGCTGACACTTTCTAGGACTAAATTAGTGGAAAGTGTAGTGTAAGTGTTACCCTGAGGAAGCTGTTGGTGGGCCTCTTTGGCCTCAGACAGCCCTCCACACCAGGTGGCAGCGTGTCCTTCCAGCCTATAGTGAAGTCGTCATCATTGTCACACGTGACCTGTCTGGACACAAAAACATGGAACATACAATAAATCCTAAATGATACACTTATGTAAAAGAGAAAATACAAGCTTGACTACAACCTAATTGTGTTAATGTAAGTTGAAATGTCTGCAGCAACATATATGGTGTATAAATCAGCATTCAAAGTGTGCTTACAAGATTGTGTAGAGAAACAATCTTAACAACATCAAAAAGATCTTACTTTCACATTTGATTTCAATCAGTGAGATTTGATGGTGATTTATATATTTTTAGTTATTCACATAATAGGAATTCTGGATGCATAAAGGGGTCATTGGGGGGAAATGTTTTATTTAAATGGTTATTTAGGTAGTCAACTAAAAGACACCTAAAGCACCAGAGACATACATTTTGGTTAAAATTTGGAATATAATAATCTTCTTGAGTTTTTAACTACTGGGGTCAAATTGAGATCACCATGCCATGTTTAGTTAACTTTACTCCATGTGATCTGATGCTAGCTGTCTAACTTTCCTTGACTTTTCAATAATGTCTCAACACATTCAAAGCAAACTGTTTTTCCTACTTTTCAAAGATGGAGATGTGACACGGGTCCTCGTGTTTGTCAGGGCCCTTGCAGGGTTGGCCTCCTCTGAGGGGGGCGGGGTTATCGCACCGTCTCGTCCGATGTCTTTTCATCATCGCTCCACAACGACTCCACGGCCCCCAGCAGCTCCAGTAACCATCCACCACCTCTGTGGAGAAAATCAATCCGTACCAAAACATAACCAAACCTAGTTTAAATGGAACTGTGTTTTAGCTTAAACTTCTAAAGTACTACCCTACAGACTGCAGTGTTCTTCACATGATCTGACACATAAGATCAAACTCATGAATTTGCAAGTCAGGGAGGTAAACACATAAATTTATACTATGAGAGAGATAAAACAAAGGCTGTTTGTTGTTCATAATTAAATGAAAAAAGATCACTTTCAAATTCTGGACCATTTGGATTAATTGTGATGGTATGGAGTTGTGTTATGCTTGCAACTGCAACATTAAACTGTGATTTTCTTACAACACTAATTGAAGCCCTTGACTTTCATCCTAATAACCACACTTTCTGAGGCTCATGGTTATTCTCACCGTACCAAAGCGAAGGGAAAGACAGCATTTCCTAGAAACAATGTTTACCTTATTCAAATTCAAGATCATGAAAAGAAAATGTTGAACAATACTTTGTTGTCTTCTATTTTCTTGTTCATCCGGACGTTGTGTCCTGCTGTACCTGAAGTAATGTCCGGAGCTCGTTTTTCACAGTTTGTGCCAAAAGTGCCGGTTTGGCAAACACACTTGCACTCTGTCCCGGAGAGAACCGCCCTGCCGTTGTTGGGGCACGGAGAGCACTTGCAGGTATCAAACTCGTCCATGTACTGCAACAGGGCCTTCCTCAGGTTTCTCCTCTTCGTGGCGGCACAAGGGATCCCCCGAACCAGATCTATGATGGGAAGCACCTGGACAGATACAGACAGACAACTCAGAGTCTATGCATTACATTAATGCACACAATGTACAACAATATCTGTTTTCTTTTCTTTGTATTACTGCCGATTTTGATTCCATAGTTTATTCCATCTTATTCCATTCCATTGCAATGTAATTATATATTTTACTCTATTTTGTATATTTTTCTAGTTCTCTACCTGTGTTTTGAATTCTTGTTTTACTTTTATGTATGCACAACGAAACCAAGTCAAATTCTTCGTACGTGTAAACTTGGTAATAAACCTGTTTCTGATTCTGAGACAAGAAGGCAACATCAGCTTTTTGTAGAATTGAGTTGTTTTGTCATTTTGAATTTCAGTGGTATTTGATTACTTTGTATTCAACCACAGCAGGGTTGTCCAGAACAGACTTTGCCCAGTTCTTAAAGACCGTTGAGTCCGGGGCGGGGCGCTCCCTCTCCCAGGCCAGAGCCGCGGCCTCTCCAGCTCGACCTCCTTTCGCCATGGAGAAAGACTTCTCTGCTGCCTTAATGTACGAACCTAGACCAAAAGGAACACGGTGAAGGTCAGATCAGAACGCAATGAAAAGCAGAGTTAGGAATCAAGAAAGTGCTTTACAAGATGAAAGCCATTAAGAGCATTAAGATAATAAAACTTGAGGAACATGAATAAAAGTTACAGTTCAGTGTGAGATACGAGTATATCTAATATGTATAAATGACCCAATATGTATATATGTTCACTTTAATTAATCTCTTATTTCATTTTTTTTTTAATCATTTTTATTTTTATCTTTGATTTGATTTGATCTTAAATTGTATTAATCTGTGTGAATATGTGCTGTCCTGTTTTTCCTTCTTACCCTGTTGCTGTTAAACTACTGAATTTCCCCACGGGGATTAATAAAGGTCCATCTTATCTTATCCATTAAAAGAAGCGGCAAAAAGAAAAGTGTTCAGCCTGGATTTCAAAGCAGTCAGAGTTGCAGCGGACCTGCATGTTTCTGGGAGTTTGTCCCAGATATGTGGAGCATAATAACTGAACGCTGCTTCTCCATGTTTCGTTCTGGTTCTAGAAAGTGGGCTGTCTGTCAGTATGAGTAACACACCTTGATATTTCTCCGTCATCCTGTCGTCGGAGCACCGGGTTACACTGCTGTGTTCTGAGTAGAGGATGATGGTCCAGGTGGACTCTCGGCCCAGACAGCTTTTGATGTGCTCTTCTGTTTCACCTGGAGATGATGAGCAACATGACGCAGAAACAAAGAAATCAAAACACTGTAGCACTGTAAGCCTAGTCTTTTACATTTAGATATTAAAGGTTGGCAACTTTTTTCTCAGTTCTTTTTATAGCTTCATGAGATATGACTTTTATATTTTGTACACAATGGTAGTGAGTATTGGTACAGTTATTCAACTAAAAGTACATTGCAAGGCCAATTTTAGTAATAAAAAAATTATGTATTCTCTTTTCACTTCATTTCTCCTTTGATGGAAATTCAAAACAAATGTAAAATCAATCTTAAAACTTTTTCCATCGTATCTGTGTATTTGGAAGTTAACATACATTTCTTACATGGAAATCCTTTCAATTGGGGTTACATTTAACTGGCCTTTTTGAAAATGTGTTAATACATACAGTATTTGACATGCAGTAACACCACATCAGTTAGATATCAAGTTGGAAAATAAAGTATGTATACCTTCCAAGCAGCATCAGAAACAGTCTGGACTTTAGCCCAGGGTGTAATTCCGGATTTTGACCACCTAGTTGTGCTATAATACCTGAAGTGGTGATCTCCTCTCGGCTGTACTGGTACAACAGGTCATATTGGCCTCCCAGTTTCCCTGAGCTGTAGTAGTGTGTGCCGAAACGCTGGAAGATGTCCCTGTAGAGAGCGTAACTGTAGTCCAGAGGAAGAGCGTGGAGGAACTGGAGGAAAGGCAGGGACAGGACGAGGTCCCCCGGGTCCCTCACCTTAAACGTGGATACAGGAAGAACCTGGTGCACTCTGTAAAACTTGGAGTCCTACGGAAGGAAATATAGGACAGAAAAATGGAAAAATGGAAATGCATGTGTAGAGATTCGTATATATATATGTGTGTTGTTGTGTGTGTGTATACATGTTTGCACGTATGTACATTGTGGGGACCATGAGACCGTGTGATCTAAGGACACTTTTTGAAAAACGGGGACATTTTCACCGAGGATCACTTTTTTTATTTCTAGGATGGTGTTAAGGGATGAGTTAATGCATCACATTCATAAAGCTTCTCACAATTATATTGCTAAAATGTGTTTGTTGTTGTTTGAGTCACTCACCGTTGTCTTTGAAGCTTCAAAAGCTTCCTTGTTAGAGCTGCTATGGGACATAGATCTTCCACTGAAGTAAAAGATGGGGAAGAAAAAGTTGTTTCGACTTTGTTGGTTGGGAGTAGAGGAGTCTGATGATGTCTTATGGACAGACTCGGTGTGCAGCGGCTCGGGCGCAATGCTGAAGTCCTCCAGCTGTCCAACCTTTACAACCAGAACGTTTGTAAATCAAAGTCTAAAATAATAAAGACAGTAACAAAATAGCTAAACAAATTTCAAATTGTAACGTTGAAGCCTATATGTGTAGGCATAGGCGGAGTTTGACATTTGCGCTTGGGGGGGCAAACTTTTTTACTGACGTCAGTACACAGTCCCAACTATTGCGTGGGGTGCTACGGATACAGTAGCAATAAAGCCAGCGTTCACCGCACTGAGTATGACTTTTTCCACATCCGAACACAACTCGTCCCGTCATGCACGCCTCATGCCCGCCGTACACACACACTCATATGGAAGAGGCGGTCTCTCCCCCCAACAACAGTGCATTACATAACTGTGCACATCTTATACTTATTTGATAACTACTATATCCCTTGGTTACTTGAACACGCTACAATATTATTAACCAGTGTCCTACTTAGTGCAGAAGTAGACGCCTTAAACGTCACAGAAATTGGACATTTTAAAAATCGCTGCATACTCATTAGGCCTACTGCTAATTATTGTAATACAATAGCTGAATCACTTGTATGCAAAAAAAAAAGCAAGGGAACTTGCCCTTAACCTCATACTTCACACACACACGTCACAACATTCGGCTGCTCAAAACATAAAATTATTTCGATTTTGTATTGTAACCCAATCATTATATCACATCTATTAAAATATTGATATAAAGAAATATTTGTATTGGAACAGTTTTAGACGTAGTAATGCTGTAACATATTTCAGCCACTAGGGGGCAATGGCCCCCCCTGCCCCCCCGCAAAATCCGCCTATGTGTGTAGGATTGCAAATCCCTATCCATTGCTGCTCTTCCACACATACTACAGCAGATGGAAATAATGACACTGAATGTGTTGATCCAGTTTTACTTGAGATAGTCAGATTGTCGTCATATTTGTTCCTTCAAAAAAGGTATAATGCTGTTTTGCACTTTAAGAGCCAAGCTTCCATTTGGGTTCAATCATTATTATTGTGGCCACTTTTCTGTCACTATGTTTCTGGTTTAGGACATTCTAGCAGAAACAGGCGGAAACAGATGCCACTGAGATTCGGGTGGTGAGGGCTTGAAACCAATAGTTATTGCAATTAATAATTATGAATAGTACCTTAATTTCAAAACTTTCAAAGTTATGAGGGACGCGGTGGTAAAGCAATGTGGTCGGAGGTCTCTTGATGATGCAACTTCCTCCCATAAACATGTTGTCCAGTACCGCTGCCCTGCGCTCTTCTGCCAGAGCATCAAACCTACACAAACAAATCAGTAAGAAGTCAAATCTCATGGAATCTGTTTTGTGCAATTAGCACCAAATTCCAACAATTCATTGGCTGCCCGAAATGATTGGTCGATAACAGATGTATAAAGAATTTGCAGAGCAAGAAACTGAAGCATGTAATATATGCTTATGTTAGAGTTTGTTGTATGTGATATCTTAAACAGTTTAAATAAAACATTTCAATAGTTTATTGTTCGCTAACATTTGTATTAAAAATATATAAACTGTATACATTATGTCAACAACATTTACAAGCATTTGAATAAATATAATTGTGTTTCGGTCTTTGCAGCAGTGGTACAGGACTTTTGATGAAGCAGTGCAAGTTGTACTAATAGAAATTCTGTGTTGTAAGAAATGCCAGAAGAGCACTTGACAGAAAGGAATGTATTTATGAACACAGCTGAAAGAAATGTTAGGAAAACTGTAAACTCAGCAGTGACTTTCTGACCATCAGCTCACCCATTCCCCACCAGGTCAGCGCCGGGGGCCACTCTCTTCTCCGCTGGACACACAATTTTGAGGTCGCCACAGTCCCTCTCATCCGAGTTATCTCCACAGTCGTTCTGCCTGTTGCACGTTAACGTGGAGTTTATGCAGCGTCCTGTGGAGGTTTTGAAGAAGATAACATTTTGTTTTTGTTTTTATCTGTGTCTGTGATTAGAAAGAAACACCAAGAAACTTCCCTGGCTGATAACAAAGACAAGTATTTTTGTATTACAATGTTTTACAAATGAGACTAATGTTATTAAAGATGTGCTTATTTGCATACATTTACAGAACAGATCATAGACATTTTTTTATTGTAATCCTTTTTCATTCTGTTTACATATTGGAGTCAAATGATTTGACAGAGGGAATGTTTGAACACTGCACATACCTGTACAAAAAAAGAAACACATTTTGTCATTCAAGTTCTACATAAACCATTGTAATATAGATGGAAAAAATTGCTGGAAAATGTGTAGTATGTTATAGAAGTAGGGATTTATTAAGTATGAGAAAATAAAAAAAGAACTTTAAGAAAAAAAATATTTGTTTGGAAAGGGGTTAACTTGAGATGAATATAACAGTAGGGTGAAAGTAGGCTTTTTATGGAAACAAAATAGCCTCAAAAAAGTGTGCTTTTTCCAGTTTGTTGTTTCTTCAATCAGCTAGGAAAATTATCATTAAAAAAACATTAAAACATAACAAATTGACCACATTGGAAGATTGTACATGTGTGATGTTTTGCGTTGCTTCTTTTACACACCAGTCAAAGTCTAATTACCATTATCGCACTTGAAGTCTTCTCTGCAGTCGACGGGGGGTAGCTTGCACTCAGTGGAGGGGTAACAGGGCCTCTCCTCCGTCAGCTGCACGCTGCAGGCCGATCCACCAAACTGGGACGGCCTCTGGACCGACCGCGTCCGAAACTGTGGTAACAACATGTGAGAAATACTGGTTAAGATTTGTATTTATTCAATTTAAATGTACACTTTAAAGGTCACCTATTATGCAAAATCCCCTTTCATGTCTTTTATACATCAACGTGTGTCCCCTCTTCTTCATGTCTCTTCTACATCAACACGTGTCCCCTCTGTGGAAAGAGATTCTGAAAGTTTCAGGAAAAAAAGATTCTCTCTCTTTTTGTCCTGAACCATTTATATAAAAACCTATCTGATCAGATTTTGTGTCACAACGATTTGTTGGCTTGTGTAACCATTAGCCAATCACCAACCAAGGTAANTGCTTTGCGCACGGACCAATTTCAAAAACCCTTGCGGAGAATGGCTGAACACACATGTTCTACGCCACTACATACTTACATTTAAATGTGTGCTGCGTCGGTTCAGCCATTCTCCGCAAGGGTTTTTGAAATTGGTCCGTGCGCAAAGCATTGTGGGGATTTTAAGGACGCGAAGTCCACCCATGTGCAGCCTCGAAATTCCCCCCAAACCAAGGACGCCAAGAATTCCAAGTACACTGGAGATTGGAACAGTCCTTCGGCGGCACTCAATGACGTAGCATCCTTGAAATATTGTCTTGGAAGCCAGTATCCTCGAGATTGAGAAACGGCCTCTGGCTCAAGCCTCTTAACCCTCTGGCACCGGCAGCCAGGTGTCCCCAATCAATACTGATAGACAAAAGGGAGAACACTTAAAGGGCCACACACACAACAGGCAGGGCAGGGGTCATCACAACGACAAAGAACGCTTCACAGATAAGGAGTAGCTGGTTGGTTTGGCAAACTCACATCTGGTTCCCCGCCTCTGATAAAGAGTAGCACGCAGCTGTGTTCCCTTACTCCCATACGTGGGAAATATCCAGGACTGTGTCCCGCAAACTAAATAAGACAGACCCAAATGGGGCTCGGGTTTTGTATGTAAAATACCTGCATGAATGAGACAGCTAGAATCTGGTTTCTGTGTACTTCCTGTTTGCAGAGGAACCGTTTGTTCCTGAGAGTCGGTGCGGGCCAGGAGAGAAACTGCAGGACTCTAAATGTGTCTGCATTCAAAGAGAGAGCTGCCTGTACGTTTTTCTCAATCATTATTCTATCATTCTATCTATATTTCAAGTTACTCTTATTTATTAATTATTCATTAATTGTTTTCAATAAAATAATGTCACTTTGTTGTTTTACAAATATATACAAATATTGTATTTCTACTAACTTAGATTTTATTTGCGCATTTCATATAACAAAAATCTGTGTGTGTGTGTGTGTGTGTGTGTGTGTGTGTGTGTGTGTGTGTGTGTGTGTGTGTGTGTGTGTGTGTGTGTGTGTGTGTGTGTGTGTGTGTGTGTGTGTGTGTGTGTGTGTGTGCAGTTCACAACCCGAGACTCTGTGTATCCTGAACATTGACCTCGGTGTTACCGTGGCGATGTCCCTCTGCTCCTTCCATGCCGGTCGTTGCCACAGCGATCCGCTCTTCTTCGTCAGCGAGGGGTCATGTGACGAGGTGGATGCAGCTAAACTGGAGTGGGCCAACTTCAGAGCCAACATGTCCTCCAAGAGCTCGGCTCAGGAGCCCTGTAACCTCGACACGTGTTATGAATGGGAGACCTGCTCTGGTGAGTTGGTCGGACACAAAAAATGTTACATTATGATTTTGCATTGATTCGAATAAATGATTTAGACAGAGTATAGCATTCTATTACTTTTTTTTTTAAATGCTAATTTCTTTTTATTCTGATGTGTTATGATGATTAAACCTTAAACAATTATTATACATTTTCTGTAAAACTGTTGACAACTTCAATTGGAGGTATTATTTTATTGTTAGCATTTGTATTTGTTCCTACTGTTAATTCTGTGTATTTGTTCATGTTTATCGTAATAAGTCAAACTAGTTTTATTCTACTAAAAGTCTCGGCATTTTTCTTTTTTTAGTGATGAACATAAAGAGACATTTTAGTCAAGTTTTTTTTAATGCATTTAGTACCGGCATTAGTTGTCTTTTTCATGAACTATATTGAATTTTGATATACTAAGAGTTGGCATTTAATGAAAATCTGTGCTGAATCGTCACCGTCTTGTCATAGTCATGGAAAAAAAGGTTGTTGACGAACATACAGTATTTTGTCATAGTTTTCGTCTCTGCTCACGGAAGCAAACCCTTAAGCTGTAATATGTTTTGTGAACATTTGTCTTGTTTTGGTTGTGCTCATGTTTTCAGAATGTATCCAGCAGATTTTTTTTAATTACCGACCAAATACAGTAATGGCAAAAACTGTGTAAAAATAATCAAATGTTCCTTTACACTTTGAGATAAACTCACTATAATTGCTTCATAATTTTTTAAGTTGTATTGTTAGCTTGCAGTCACTCATAGTGTTTCAGCATGGATTCTTCATTCATCAAAGTGGTTTTCACATTTATATCGTTAAAAAAAAAACGTTAACTCTCGTCTGTTCCCAGCATTAAAGAAGTGTGCCTGCAAAGCTGCTCGGGACTGCCCCAGAAGTGAAGCCAACATGTTCTGTGTGAAGCTGACCCGGACCCAGAGAACTCGCAGCATGGACCTGTGCTCCATGGCCGCCCTCAAATGCATCAACTATCAGTTTGAGATTCTCAATGAAGGCGTCTGTGAGTCCAGATGATCCTTCATGTGCTTTTCTATGAATCCATCTAAACATCTGACTGTATTGTCATAAGCATATCTTGCACAATGTTATTATGTTACTCATACACTTATACAACTGGAATGGCAAGCAAGTATACTTGGGTTCAAAGATCAAGAGTAAGTAACCCCAACCAACCCTAACCCTTATCAAAGGCACACCTAACTGCTCCAAATGGAAAGCAAATAACGTTGCTAAATTGAGAACAATTGTAAATTATGGAAGTAATCATTCTAAGTATATTTTGAATAGAAGATTTGTTTTTTTATAGGTCAATGAATCCAAGATGGTGCTTCCATAAAATCCAGAAGTTTATGATATCAACCTTATGTCAATTAGAATGATTGTGTAAAAACGACATCTCTGATTGGTTGAACTTGCGTTACCATGGAAATGTTTAGTGAGGGAACATGTCAACAGCGTCTCCTCCATTGTATGCCCTCAGATTAGAAAGGTGACTACATTTTGACTTGTTTGGAAATGTTCTCCTGTAAGGAAAAAGTTAACAAAAATGTATTTCTGAAAAAAGTTGTGGCGAAACAAGCCATGCAGTTGCCAACGGTTATTTTAAAATGTTATAGTTCCAGGTTCACATTCACAATGGTTTATCTCATATAATAGTATAGTGTTTCCTAGAATCCAATGTGTTATAGTAATTAGGTCCATGCTTAATATTCAATGCAAAGGCCTTTCCATATCCATTTGCACATATCAACTCTGGCCAAGGCATAAAGCGTATTTGAGGCTTTCATACAGCTTTTCTTATGCGATACTTCAAAATGTGCATTAAAGTTGTGAATGGAAACAAGTCCCTGGGTCGGAATCTTACTTGTCTGATTTCATATGCGTTGGGAAATGTAACTGTTTCAATTGTAATGTTAGTAAGTAATAAGCTGTCACTATGCTTTCATAATTTTTTTTAAAACTCTTGAGTTCTGTTGGAAAGAACTTGAATTATTTCACTCTAAAGACACATTTTTCTCTAATATTTTCTTCTTTACACTGGTCCAACATACTTTTGAAAAACACAGACTTCCATCACTGTAGGATCTTAAAAATAAAGGTACATTTAAAGATCTAAAATGTATTGAAATGATTCATTAACACGTTATTTGTTATCATAACTTTGGATTCATAACTAATAATTGGCAAAAGAGTTTGGTTCATAAGTCTTTATATAATAAGACAAAGCCGAGAGACCAAAAACGTAGTCGAAGTATTTTATTTGATTGATTTTATGATTGAAGATGTTCTCTTAGGTTTAGAAAATAAGCTTATGTAAATATGTGTATGCAAATGAAAATGCAAAAAGGCACATGATTTATATAATTCAAGTGTTATAAAAAAAAAAAATTCTATTTACAATTAATTGAAAACAACATGTCCCTCCTTTATGTACAGAGTGAGAGAGCTCAGCCATTTTTATTCTGGACAAGCCTCGAGACCGACAACATGGACCTGCTCATTAGCACAGCGTCTGGCCCCCACCTCACATTCAGTCATCGTCTTGGCAACGCTGTCATCACTGGTTTTGGTGCAAAGGGGGGCGGAGCCTATCGGGCAGTCTGACACGTTCTGACACACGCATTTCGATTCTAGAATTGAAAAAAAAAAAAATTATATAATGATGCAGTTACACCTCATGTTAAATAATTAAATTAATCTTTTGAACATTATTCCTATCGCTTCCTGAAATCGCTAATAACTGAGCAAAAGAACACCCAGTCAGCCAATTGAGTCATAAACTCGCAGGTTTTACTTATTTGGCAGAAAATGATGGTGAATGGTAAATTATTACCTAACATCCATGACAGTTTACAGACATACTTAATGATTCAATGACATAGTATTCATGAGATTTTGCTAATTTTCAATTATGCTAATTAGAATCTCTTTGGCTAATGCATAAGAGTTTGTATTTTTGGAGCCATGGCCCCAATCCAACATTGGTTTTTGGGCTGCCGATCAAATCATCTTTTAGTCCAAAATTATTATCTTTCATACTATTGACGTTCAGGATAATGGGCCTTTAGAATAATCGGATGGCATTTTATCCGTAACAATTTTCCGACTTTTTCTTTATGCAATTTCTTTTTAAATTAGTGACTTTCAGATTTTTCAGTGCAACTTTTCAGGGCCAATGTTTTCTTCTTCAGTTAAAGTATGTTTTTAAAAAAAATATGTAGTCATTGTCCTGAACCCATTATAGATGTATTGTCCCAACAAACTTGATGTACAGATTAGTACTATATTAATATCCATGTCAAAACAACAACAATAAGGTCCAAGGTGTAATAAATAGGATTTACTTACCCTGACAAACTGTCCCCGGTTTGCAGTCCTCACAGGACAGGGACAGCTCTTGTTGCCCGTCACAGTCTGTCGCTAACTCGAAGCTCCGCCCCAAACAGCGCAGCGCTCCGAGCTGACAAAGACTGAGTACTCGGGTTCGGCTTGAACCGAGTCTGGCACACAGCTGCAGAGAAGTCCTAAAGTGGGCAATAGAGGAAAACAATCGTTACTACATATATTTTCTACGTAGTTCTAAAAAAAAGCCTTTCCCTGTGCATGACAATAATATGATTATCAAAAATAATACTTACGAGCACTGAGATGGCATTTTACACACACACTCAGTTTTTCCTATGTTCTCCCAAGGCTTACATTTCAGGCCAGGTGGAGGAGTGGGACCTGAGAGCACTGAGGAGAAAATATAGAGGTAAACTGGATTCAATATTTGACTGACATGCACAATTCCATTCCAAATACATTAAAATGTTGCTTCAAAACAGATCAGGGTTGCAGTAAAACATAATTATTTAATTGTATTTATGCTCCCAGGGGCAAAAGCTGCTAGCAAACAGAAATATTTACATTTTCACATTGAACCTGAGAGTTAATGCAATGTACCTGCTTTACAACGAGCACTGGCCGGTGAAGGAGACCACTGCAGACTGGGACTGCACATGATCTCTGACACCTCCTCTGTGTCCAGCACCGACCCCACAGGACAGGACAGGGACACTCTGTGTCCAATCTGATAGGCTGCCTCGATAGGGGTGGCTACGATGTCACTGTTGAGTAGAGGAAACCCACATGTGGCACCTGAGATGGGAGGAGGGGAACGTTTACCAAGAAGAACTGAGGAAATAACACAGCACTGGGATTTCTAGAGGTGCATAAAAGGGACATGTAGAAAATCTTTAGACATTTTTAATCTTCATCTTAATCCACATTTGTGTAAAAATAAAAAAGGAGTGACAGACAAAAATGCTGACTGTCTAATGGCAACCATGACAAAAATACTCCATTTTGGTTGAGTTAGTAAGCACTAGCTAAAAGGACTACATTTGGCAATGAGTCTGCCCTTTTTAGTTAATCTGGGGTTTAGGGCCTTGAAACACATCTCAGTAACTATCAGATGGATTTGGATTTGGTGCCTACAAAATCCCAATTTTCTTTATTGAATCGTTTAAAGTAAAGTCGTTCCTGAGATATATCGCTAATAAACTAATAATACAGCCAGATACATAACCTCCCTGACAGAGTGAAAGACGTACTTTTACAAACCGGCGATTCTGTCCTCCACTTCTGGGTTTCAGTGCATTGAGCCACAGCGCCTCCAATAAGGTAATAACCGTCAATGCAGGAGTATTGCACCGTGTTTCCAACCAGGTAAAAGTCCCTGGGATTCTGAGAAAATAAAACTCCAGTTTATTTATAATACAGTAACTGGAACAACCTTTTTAAACGGCATCAATCAAGCAAACTCACCTCAATATATCCGTTCCTGAGGTTTGGAGGTGCTCCACATGTCTTTGGTGGAGTCACTGGGAGACCGAAGCACTGAGGCTCCATCGTCCTGCACACAAAAGGTTTACAGTAAGAATTAAAACACTGACACCACCTTTTGCGAATTGTATTGTATAATTAGGGTATTTAATGTGTAGACTGGCTCTACAGTGCCTCACTATCACCTCTTGAGGAATACATGGGAAAACAAGAGAGGACAGGCTAGTGCAAGTTAGCTATCTTATCATGCTAACTTAAGTAGATATGTTAAGAAGACATAGACATCTTTGACATAACATCCACACTGTACACTCTCCACTTGTTGATAATGTTATTTTGATAATGTATATTAATAATAAAATAATAATGCATTACATTTTTTTATTAGAGCGCTTTTACAGGTGCTCAAAGCGCTTTACAATTACACATTACACATATTAGACATGTAAGAGTCATTACTGTGGACAATACCCACAGGAGCAAATGCGGGTAAAGTGTCTTGCCCAAGGACACAACGGCCTGACGCAGTGGCGGCCGAGGCGGGATTCGAACTATATTGTGGCATATCTTACACATACTTGTGTAAGATACAAAATGCAAAATTGTTGGGGGGGTGCTAGTGGATCGCCGGAGCTGTTAGATTAACATTGACATGCTTATTGTAGTTGTAAGTGCACTGCCTTGCGGCCTGTAACACCATCCTTGATGGAGCATATGTGTGGACTNATCGAAATGCTGCACCTTAATGTTTATTTTATTATATTTTTTATTTATTTGAGTGAATACATTATTAACAGTTTAATAATAATTAAAAAATATATATATATATGTTTTGTTTTGTGAAAAAAAATTCTGCTGTACCGAAAACGTACCGAACCGAACCGTGACCAAAAAACAACCGAAATGTTTGTGAACCGTTACACCCCTAGTAGTAATATATTTATTTATTTCTCTTCTCAAGAGAGTACCAGAATGTGTATGTTATGTTAGTATTTCAAAACATCTCCTGGGGGAGAATCCCCCCAGACGCCCCTGCAGGGATAGGTTTTTCAGCATGTCAACTCTTTCACCCGTGGTGAAATTGCAGGATCGGCTCAGTGGGGCTTCCTCAGAAGGTGATAAACACTATTCAGAGTGCAAGGGCTTCCTCCACCAGGTCTCACTGTAAGTGAAGAGTGTTTGAGGAGTGGTGCCTCCAAGAGGGACACGTCTCTTTTCAATGTCCTGTCGGTGTGATTTTGTCATTTCTGAAGGACTTGATTAATAAACACAGAGCTTTCTCTACGATCAAAGTGTACCTGGCTGCTATTGCTGCATGCCATGTGGGTTTTGAGGGAAAGACAGCTAGCCAACATCCCTTGGTCTGCCGTTTTATGAAAGGNTATTAAAGTCCGAGTGGAAACAGTCGTGTGTAAATCTGATTTTGTCAGAAATCGGGAGAAATGCGGGACAAATATGACCCCGGGAGGAAACCGGGAGAGAGCAATGAAATCGGGAGTCTCCCGCAAAAATCGGGAGGGTTGACAAGTATTCTTACACATTGTACCTTTAATAAACCACTTCTACTGTATGTGTATAATCAATACATCATTAAATACATTAAATCTTCTGTTATATTATGAAAAGCAAGTGAGAAAATCTATGGGTTTGCTTTGGGGTCATATATTTGGGATACACCCTGTTTCCCACAAGTTCCTGTGCATAAACTTACTGTAAGTACCGGATGTCTGGCTCCTCACAAGGCTTTACTTCCGACCACTCTCCGATGCAGTGCTGGCCATTCCTGGGGGCGGGGTTTTCGCATCTTCGGGTCCTTGTCTTTTTACTTCCAAAGCAGGTTCCCCAGGAAGACCAGCAGGTCCAGCTGCCATCGATCACCCCTGAGAGAAAAAATAAACATTATCTTTGCTGTTCTTTCATTGACTGGACTGCATGGTAACATAAACGTACATTTTTACCCTTTTTTTCCGGATAGATCTTATAGAAATAACTTGCCGTTTGAAGACAATAAAGGAA